GAGGGAGCTAAGGCAGATCGAAGATTAAAACTCAGGAGTCACAGTTCTTATTAATTTATTGTTTACCAAATAACTGTATCATATATAATGAAGCATCTGCCTTTTAGGTATGTATATATAAGACAGCATCCCTCTGGTAGTGTTTGATTACACTGAAAATAAAGCTCAGAACAGAAAATAAAGCAAAGAACAGAAACCTCTTTGCTGATCCATAAACGAGTTCTTGCAACAGTACGAAACCGTTTTCAGAAGACAAAGATAAAACCTAAGAAATTTCACACAAAACAGTATTTTATAGGAATACCATTACAGCTGACAAGCAAAAAACTTCCTAACAGGAGAAACACCCAATGAACATTATTGTACCACTAGTACAAGATGGGCTGTTCTGCCACTCGTGTGCATGCATGTGAACACAATATGTAAAAACAGCTACACGGACTTGTTTTGCATTGCTTTAAATGATAAGCTATGAATATATTTATTTTCCTTTTTTTTTTTTTTCCCTCTCTTCCTTTAGAACTATTTCTAGAATAGTTCTAATAATTCATCATTTTATTTTTGTCAGTGGTGATTTGGGAATTACACTGAAAATAAATTCCCATTTCTTATGCCATAGTCCTAAAGAAACTAGGACACATGTAAAGGAAGTATCCAAAGAGAATTCATACAGAGGAAAAGGTCTGAACCTCTGTCAAAATAATATGTATAAAGAAGCTGCATCACTGATTATCTTGGCAGTGCAGAAATGCAGAAGACTTGTCTTCTGATAGAAAACACATAAAGATTAAGAAAAATCTGCTTCAAATTCTCACTCACAATTAATCAATGTCATTACCCAGAAATTACAGGAATAAAATATAAGGTGGATTCACTTTGCTGATAAGTGCTACTACCAATTATAGGTGGCAAGAACTAACTTAAAAAAGCTATCTGAGTAGCTTTTCAAATTCATGTGTCCTGGAGAACAATGGACTGTAACATAGTTAACCAAAATATGTACTTCTGTGTATTTCAGCCTTCCCATTTTATAAAGCTGATTATATAGAAAGACTGGATGAAAAGTAAATGCAGTCAGAGAAATTAATGCACACAAAGGAGCCTAATCTTATGTCTCTGGGTTCTTTGTAGACAATTTAAACTTTACTTATAGATGTTAATATTTTCTTTTAAAATAATAAACTCCTAGTCCTCTGGCTAAGGAAAGGATTTTGAACATAAGTTGCTGCATTCTGTTCGATTTCCACTGTCTGACTCTCTCATACCTACAAACCTCTCTCACATAGGGCCTTATTCTTCTATCCAAGAATAAATAATTTCTTTCCATCCTAATTAGCCCTGAAAGCAAGACTTTTCCCCTTCATGTGCCACAGTAGATACCTTAGTTTCTACTTAGTTTGAGGAGTTCCGGGCGAAGGTGAAGGGTTTCTGCTTGTTTGAACAAGCCAATATGGATGTCTTCAAGCAGAAACTGTTTTATCTGCTGGTTTCACTTCTAAAACACAGGATTAATTCTAACCTTGCTGCTCAATCCACCTGCCTGTACTGAGGTGCATTTATTACCATTACAGGGCAGCAACAAACAAGATTCATCAACCTCTTCTGTGTCTCTGCTGCGCGCTTGCAGCGTCTAACGAGCGTTGGGAGAGGAGAAGGTGACAGGACACTCTCTGTTTCCTGAGGCATCCCGCTTTGAAAGCCACGACGGGCGCTGGTGGCCGTGCTGAGGCAGTGGTGAAGCGCGTGTCTTCAGTCCCACGGCACGGGGCTGGACGGCGGCGGGAGGTGAATTAGCTCTCCTGTCTCTCGGGGGCACAGATGACCCCAGCGTGCCGGCATTCCCCGTACTGCTGAACCTCGTCACGCTGGGCTGGTGGAAGCTGCTCGGGAGAGCAGAGGTGGTGATCAGAGAAAGGGCACAATCCTCTCTGGGTGCAAACGGCTCTGCAGTTCTGCAAGCCGAGCTCTCACACTTTAGTGTGAGTGGGTTTGACAGTCACAAGAGGCGGGATCCGGCAGGTTGAAAGAGCCTGGTTATTGCTCTCTGTATTTTGGTAGGAAGCAACGACTAATGATGTCAGCCTGGGAAAGTGCAAACCTCTGTCCCTTATTTGCAGAGCATTGCTGATGGGCCACTCTTCTCTCTGTCAATCAGATTACATCCCAGAATACTAAAGTTCCAGGGTCTGCTGTTTTCTTCCAGTGTATCCTAGACTTATCCATACACGCTCTTTCACTTCTCTAGTTCCTAGGAGTCGGCAATTAAGAAAACAATCGATTTCTTGAGTCTTCAACTGTCTTTTCCGCTCCTCTTATAGTAGATGAAATTTCATTGAAAGTCATCTTCTGCCCTGTGCCAGGCACCCGTGAGGCACTCTGAGCTACCATCTTAGCAGAAGATAAACTTCTAACAATCTTCCCATGGTTATACCTAATCCATACCACTTTTTACCTTTCAGAGCTACATGGAATATTCTTCTTCCTCACAGTTATAAAGCACCAGAGATCAAACCAGAATTTTAGAAGTGTAGGGATGAAAGAAAATTTACTTTAAATAAAATTATATCTAGTTTTAAGTTGATGACACTGATGAAGACTTTTTTAAAGTTTTACAGAAAGCACATACAGGCAGACAGAGGTGGCTTTTTGGAGAAAAAGTATGTATTATTTGGACAGACTATTCAGTTTCCCAATGCTTTCCCCTTGCATCGTTTCTACTTCTTACACCATGTATTCGAATCCAAGCAGAATTTTACCAACCAGGATTTCACTGAGAGTACCCCAATGACCATGCCATTTCTACTCAAGTATCTACAGCTCAGAGCTATTTAGATATCTAAAACTTCTTCAAGACAATTTAGAGCAATGTATTAAATAATTTCGTAAATCTAATTTTAGTTTCTGATCCTGCCAAGCTGTACATGCTCCCAGTTGTGACTGTGTGCTATGTTCCTCTGAAGGCCTGTTCACTTGGGCACAGTTACGCAACTGAGGAGCAGACACCTCTGCCTTGGGTTTGGTGAGGCAAAGTAGAATCCATGTTAAAACTGCAGTAGTCTACAAAATTAAAAAAAAAAAAAACCTGCTGAAAAAATACGAAAGACACTCGCAAATTTTTTTCCAGTAAAAACACCCGTGCCTACCTAGACAGAAAGGAGACACATCTGAATGCCATGTACTTGAAGCACAGCAAAAAATGGAATTCTTCCTAGTACCACCTAGTACTGTCAGTCCTCTGGAGACACTTTTGTCACAGTCAAAGGCAGAGTCACGGTTTAAGAACACTGAATGTCCTTAAATTTGCCTTTTTTCAAAGGATCACTTACACAAGGCAGGAACTTTTTTTTTTTTTTTACCTCAGAACACTCTTATTTAATGATCTGATGTCTGTAGAAAACATATTATTGGATTTTAACGTTTTTTTTCTTTTACTATAGCTACTTTGGATCTTACTCACCGAGTCTATAGCTATGCTGGGGAGAAGTACAGCGCAGCGGCGGGTCCCTGGAGCGCCCCGCTCGGAGGGCGCCCCGATGCGAGGCCGCACTCTCCGCCTGAGCTGAGAGACACCGACAGTCCTTCAGGGGAGAGGCTCATCTACAACCACGTCTTGTTCGGAAAACGTGGAATAAAATAGAAGCATTAAAACCCCCCGCAAGCCGTTCAGACAGCGTCATTGGTTCTGGAGGAGCGGAGAGGGTCCGGGCTGGGCGAGCTGTGAAGAGGGTAGAGGCAGCAACAGCCATCAACAGTGTCCAAGGGGAATGTCTGAGACCTGTGTGATTGTTCGTACCCTGTCACGGACACAATCTGTTCTCTCACGCTGTGCCCACACTGAATCTTTCCTCTCACGCTGTGCCCACAGCCGTGCCGGTTCTGGCGCCTCCAGCCTTTCCCCCGGCGTTGCCCCGGGACTACCGGCCCCGGCCGCGCTCGCGGGGCCCCCGTGGCGCGGGAGCTCCTGGGGCTTGTAGG